ATGATGCGCATCTGCATTTGAGGGAGAGCGTGCGAAGCTGGAGGGAGGCTTGCGATAGCAAGTCCATTCAAGGTATGGGGGTTCTGTGTGGGAAGTTTGGCTCAATTCTATCGCTGGTGGAATTCAGAATGCTCTTTGATTGTAGGTAAACTATAAATCCCAGCAATAATAACTCCCAAATGTCAAGGTCTATTTCCCTCCAACTCCACCAGTGTTCATATTTGGACATATTGTGTATTCGTGCCAAGTTTGGTCCAGATCCATCATTGTTTGTGCCCACAGTGCTCTTTGGATGCAGCTGAACTACAACTCCCAAACTCAAGGTTAATGCCCACCAAACCTTCTAGTATTTTCTGTTGGTCATGGGAAAACTGTGTGCCAAGTTTGGTTTAATTCCATCATTGGTGGGATTCAGAATGTTCTTTGATTGTAGGTGAACTATAAATCCCAGCAACTACAACTCCCAAATGACAAAATCAATTTTTTTAGTGAAGGACTTGCATTGGGTTGTTAGGTGTCTTGTGTCCAAATTTGGTGTCAATTCGTCCAGTGGTTTTTGAGTTGTGTTAATCCCACATACGAACATTACATTTTTATTTATATGGATTTGTATATTTTAAGTTGCAATGTTTTCGATTGTGAATAGAAATAAATAAATCTATATAAATAAAAATGTAATGTTCGTTTGTGGGATTAACGTAACTCAAAAACCACCAAGCGAATTGATACCAAATTTGGACACAATACACCTATCAGGCCAAAGAGTGACCATCACTCATAAAAACACTGAAAAACACAGTGGAAGAGACTTAAAAATCCAAAAAAATAGAAAAATGCATTACAATGCATGCACAAAACCACATATATACACATATAAGGTAAAGGTTGTCCCCTGACATTAAGTCCAATCATGTGTGACTCCTGGGTGTGGTGCCCATCTTCATCTCTAAGCCGAAGAGCCGGCATTGTCCATAGACACCTCCAAGGTCATGTGGCCGGCATGACTGCATGGAGCGCCGTTACCTTCCCGCCGGAGCGGTACCTATTGATCTACTCACATTTGCATGTTTTTGAACTACTAGGTTGGCAGAAGCTAAGGCTGACAGCGAAAGCTCACGCCGCTCTCTGGAATTGAACCTGCGACCTTTCGGTCAACAAGCTCAGCAGCTCAGCGCTTTAATCCACTGCGCCACTGGGAGCTCATTACATACACATATACACAAATATTTACTAGCCATCCCCTGCCACGTGTTGCTGTGGCCCGGTCTGTGCATATGAGTTTTGTATATATATACACAAACATATACACTCACGAAAGTCATATGCACAGACTGGCCCACAGCAACGTATGGCAGGGGACCGCTAGTAACTACATAAATAAATAATTATGATTGATTGATCTGGATTATAGGACAGTGTGGAAAGGGCCTGAGCTGGAAACTGCACAGGCTGCTGGGTGACGAAAGCTGTCTGCAGAGACTATTCTCGCCGCCAACGAAAGAAATGGGCTCCCAGTCCTCAAAACCTCACAACCTCTGAGGATGCTTGCCACAGATTGAGGCGAAATGTCAGGAGAGAATGCTTCTAGAATAGTGTTTCTCAACCTGGGGGTCGGGACCCATGGGGGGGTTGCGAGAGGGTGTCAGAGGGGTCGCCAAAGACCATCAGAAAACACAGTCTTTTTTGTTGGTCATCTGGGTTCTGTGTGGAAAGTTAGATCCCATTCTATTGTTGGTGGGGTTAAGAATGCTCTGCCAGTGTTCACATTTGGCCATATTGAGTATTTGTTCCAAGTTTGGTCCAGATCCATCATTGTTTGAGTCCACAGTGCTCTCTGGATGTAGGTGAACTACAACTCCCAAACTCAAGGTCAATGCCCACCAAACCCTTCCAGTATTGGGGGTTCTGTGTGGGAAGTCTGCCCCAAATCCGTCGTTGGTAGGGTTCAGAATGCTCTTTGATTGTAGGTGAACTGTGAATCCCAGTGACTACAACTCCCAAATGTCAAGGTCTATTTCCCCCAAACTCCATCTGTGTTCATATTTGGGCGTATTGAGTGCTTGTGCCGAGTTTAGTCCAGATCCATAATTGTTTGAGTCTACAGTGCTCTCTGGATGTAGTGAACTACAACTCCCAAACTCAAGGTCAATGCCCACCAAACCCTTCCAGTATTTTCTGTTAGTCATGGGAGTTCTGTGTGCCAAGATTGGTCCAATTCCATCATTGGTGGAGTTCAGAATGCTCTTTGATTGGAGGTTAACTATAAATCCCAGCAACTACAACTCCCAAATGACTTTTTTTTTATTGATGGTCACTCCTTGGGTTAGTAGGTGTTTTGTGGTCAAATTTGGCGGCAATACGTCCAGTGGTTTTTGAGTTATGTTAATCCCACAAATGAACATTACATTTTTATTTATATAGATCAGCGTTTCTCAACCTGGGGGTCGGGACCCCTGGGAGGGTCGCGAGGGAGTGTCAGAGGGGTCGCCAAAGACCATCAGAAAACACAGAAATTTCTCTTGGTCATGTGGGTTTTGCGTGGGAAGTTTGGCCCAATTCTATCCTTGGTGGGATTCAGAGTGCTCTTTGATTGTAGGTGAACTATAAATCCCAGCAAGTACAACTCCCAAATGTCAAGGTCTATTGTCCCCAAACTTAACCAGTATCCACACTTTGGCATATTGAGTATCTGTGCCAAGTTTGGTTTAGATCCATCATTGTTTGAGTCCACAGTGCTCTCTGGATGTAGGTGAACTACAACTCCAAAACTCAAGGCAAATGCCCACCAAACCCTTCCAGGATTTGGTTGTGGGAATTCTGTGTGACAAGTTTGGTTCAATTCCATCACTGGTGGAGTTCGGAATGTTCTTTGATTGTAGGTGAACTATAAATCCCTGCAACTACAACTCCCAAATGTCAAGACCTATTTTCCCCCAAACTCCACTTCACATTTGGGCAAGTTTGGTCCAAATTGTTGATGGGATTCAGAACGCTCTTTGATTGTAGGTGAACTATAAATTCCAGCAACCACAATTTCAAGGTCTATTTCCAACCAAACTCCATCAGTGTTCACATTTGGGTATATTGATGCCAAGTTTGGTTTAGATCCATCATTGTTTGAGTCCACAGTGCTCTCTGGATGTAGGTTAACTACAACTCCCAAACTCAAGGTCAATGCCCACTAAACCCTTGTTGAGTGTTTTCTGTTGGTCAGGGGAATCCTGTGTGCCATGTTTGGTTCAATTCCATCGTTGGGGGAGTGCTCTTTGATTATAGGTGAACTACAAATCCCAGCAACTACAACTCCCAAATGACAAAATCATAATTTGTTGAGTGATGGTCACTCCTTGTGTAGTGTGATGTTTTTGTTGCCAGATTTGGTGTGATTTCGATCATTGGTTCTTTTGTTTTTAAGGTACGCGTTATGCACAGAGCATTTTTAGATAGATAGATAGATAGATAGATGGATGGATGGATGGATGGATGGATGGATGGATGGATGGATGGATAGATGATAGATAGATAGATAGATAGATAGATAGATAGATAGATATAGATCAACATTTCTCAACCTGGGGGTCGGGACCCCTGTGGGGGTCACGAGGGGATATCAGAGGGGTCGCCAAAGACCATCAGAAAACACAGAAAATTCTCTTGGTCATGTGGGTTCTGTGTGGGAAGTTTGGCCCAATTCTATCCTTGGTGGGATTCAGAGTGCTCTTTGATTGTAGGCAGAGGCGACCCTAGGTAATTTTCAATGGTAAGTAAACAGTATTTTGGCACACAACCCCCCCCCCCCCAACCAATCACTGATATATATTTTCTGTTCGTCATGGGAGTTCTGTGTGCCATATTTGGTTCAATTCCATCATTCGTGGAGTTCAGAATGCTCTTTGATTGTAGGTGAACTATACATCCCAGTAACTACAACTTGCAAATGTCAAGGTCTATTTCCTCCCAAGAGCGCCTCAAGAGCGCCCCTGGGCAAAATCAACTATACCGCAAATGCTTACTTTGCGTAATGGGTTGAGCTGCCCCTGATTGCAGGTGAATTATAAGTCCCAGCAACTACAACTCCCAAATGTCAAGGTCTAATGTCCCCAAACTTAACCAGTATCCACACTTTGGAATATAGAGTATCTGTGCCAAATTTGGTCCAGATCCATCATTATTTGAGTCCACAGTGCTCTCTGGATGTAGGTGAACTACAACTCCCAAACTCAAGGTCAATGCCCACCAAACCCTTCCAGTATTCTCTGTTTGTCATTGGAGTTCTGTGTGCCAAGATTGGGCCAATTTCATCATTGGTGGAGTTCAGAATGCTCTTTGATTATAGGTGAACTACAAATCCCAGCAACTACAACTCCCAAATGACAAAATCATAATTTGTTGAGTGATGGCCACTCCTTGTGTAGTGCAATGTTTTGTTGCCAGATTTGGTGTGATTTTGTTCATTGGTTCTTTTGTTTTTAAGGTACTCATTATGCACTGAACATTTACAGATAGATAGATAGATAGATAGATAGATAGATAGATAGATAGATAGATAGATAGATAGAGATAGATAGAGATAGATAGATATAGATTATCTGGATTATAGGACAGTGTAGAAGGAGCCTGAGTTTGAAACTACCCAGGCTGCTGGGCGCCCAAAGCACAGGCTGTCTGCTGAGACTGTTCTCGCTGCAAGCGGGCTCCCAGTCCCTTGGAGGCAAAGCAAAAACTGGGTTGTTGTAGTTTTTTCGGGCATATATATGGCCATGTTCTAGAAGCATTCTCTCCTGACGTTTCGCCTGCATTTATGGCAAGCATCCTCAGAGGTTGTGAGGTAAAAACTGCCCTCGGCCAGAGTGTGTCCGGCTTCCAAGCCAGGCTTCTACGTGCACCAGGAAAACGGGCTGCCCTGCCTGCTGAGGGGCCTAGTACTGAATGCGAGCCACCCCCAAGCCTAGGATTGGCCCTCCTCCCTTGCCTGAGCCCTTTGTCTCTGCCTTCCTCACCTGGCGCGTGAGCCACGCTCAAGAGGAGCTCGCGGAGGGTGCTGCTGCTGCTGCTGCTGCTCGAGGGGCTCGCGCCTCGGTCTCTGTCTCCTCCTCCTCCTCGCGCCGCCTCGCCGCTGACGTTGGCGCAGAGCCCCTTGCCGTCGAGCAGCGCCTGCAGCGGCTTAGGCTCCTGGCTTGGGGGCCGGCAGCGCAAGCCCGCGCCGCAGCGCTCCGTGTAGACGCCGCAGGGTTGCCCTTCGCGCAAGGCGCACGTCCAGCAGCAGCCGCAGCCGGGCTCCCGCACCGGCTCGGGGCACTCCGGCGTCAGGGGCTTGCACCGCTCCAGAGCCCCGGGCCCGCACGGCTCGCAGCGCACCACCGGCCCCGCCAGCCCGCTCCGCAGCGCCGCCACCGCCCACAGCAGCAAGCAGAAGCGCCAGCCCATCGTCTCAGTCACTCAGTCAGTCAGTCAGGCAGGCAGGAGAGAAGAAGGGCCAAGGCACAGGCGCAGGGGGCTCCCTTCTGCCAAGGTGGGGAGAGGCGCGCGCACAGGGCAGGCACTGGGAGAAAGGGCAGGGTGGGGGAGGGGCGGAGGGAGGGAGGGAGGAAGCAGGAGGAGGAGGAGGAGAGTCACAGGTACTTGCACCTTCCACAGAGGCACCAGCACTCTGAGGGGAAAGAAAGGGCGCGCATCTTTTTGCCTCATGCGAGGTGTTCCCAGAAAGCAGCCCTCCTCAGGCACCCACACACACCACTCAGGCACAAGACAGGACAAGAAGGAACAGGAACCCTCGCCAGTCAAGAACAGGCCTGCCCCTGGAACAACGCCATTCCCTTCCTTTTTTGACAAAGGCAAAAGTGTGCACATCTTCTTCTAGAATCCCACACAGAACACCCAAGTGGGCCACAGCAACGCGTGGCAGAGGACGGCTAGTCTATATAAATAAAAATGTAATGTTCGTTTGTGGGATTAACAGAACTCAAAAACCACTTGACGAATTGCCGCCAAATTTGGACACAAGACACCTAACAACCCAATGTATGTCCTTCACTCCAAAAATTGATTTTGTCATTTGGGAGTTGTGATGAATCTGGACCAAACTTGGCATGAATATTCCATATGCCCCAATATTAACTTACATGGAGTTCGGGAGAAATAGACCTTGACATTTGGGAGTTGTGGTTACTGGGATTTATAGTTCACCTATAATCAAAGAGTGTTCTGAACCCCACCGATGACAGAATGGGGCCAAACTTCCCACACAGAACCCCCATGACCAATAGAAAATACTCAAGGCCATCCAGTCCAGCTCCCTTCACCAGGGCAAGAAAACATAATCAGTGCCCTCCTGACAAAGAGCCATCCAGCCATAGATATAGAAAATATGATTCATACACACACATAGTATCATAGACTTGAAAGGGACCCCTGAAGAAGGACAATGATGTGTTGCATGTTCCAGACTAGGCAAACCAGACACTCTTCACATCAACACTGACGAAGAAAGAGCAAGAAATACTGTTTACCCACAAGCATAAAAAATTACATATACTAGAAACCAACACTTTCTCGTTATTTTATTATTCAGATCAACAGACTGGGCCACAGCAACGCGTGGCAGGGGACAGCTAGTATATAAATAAAAATGTAATGTTTGTGGGATTAACATAACTCAAAAAACACCAGACAAATTGACACCAAATTTGGACACAAGACACCTATCAGGCCAACAAGTGATCGTCTATATATATATAAATGCTCTGTGCATAATGAGTACCTTAAAAACAAAAGAACCAATGAACGAAATCACACCAAATTTGGCAACGAAACGTCTCACGACAAAAGGAGTGACCATCACTCAAAAATTATGATTTTGTCATTTGGGGGTTGTAGTTGCTGGGATTTATAATTCACCTACAATCACAGAGCCTTCTGAACTCCACCAATGATGGAAGTGAATCAAACTTGGCACACAGGACTCCCCTGACCAACAGAAAACACTAGAAGGGTTTGGCAGGCATTGACCTTGAGTTTTGGAGTTGTAGTTCACCTACATCTAGAGAGCGCTGTGGACTCAAAACAATGATGGATCTGGACCAAACTCTACACAAATACTAAATATGCCCAAATGCAGGCATGTAGCCGGGAGGGGGGGGGGCTCGGGGGGCTTCAGCGCCCCCCCCCAAAATTTTCATGGTGGTTCTCGAAAAGGCCTTATTGGTGCATTATTTAAACTGTTATGTTTATTCATATCATGATCTGATCACCATACTCAATATATCCCATATGCATGGGGGTATTGGGGTAATGATACAAAAGGTTTGCTAGGCTAGACCCTCTTTCACTCAGACTCAGCCCCCCCCCCCCGAAACTCAGCCCCCCCGAAATCCCCCCTGAAAAAAATTCAGCCCCCCCCCCCCCCCCCGAAACGAAATCTTGGCTACGGGCCTGCCCAAATGTGAAACTGGTAGAGTTTGGGGGGAATAGGATCTTGACATTTGAGAGTTGTAGCTGCTGGGATTTATAGTTCACCTACCTTCAAAGATCATTCTGAACTCCGCCAACGATGGAATTGAACCAAACTTGGCACACAGAACTCCCATGACCAACAGAAAATACTGGAAGGGTTTGGTGGGCATTGACCTTGAGTTTGGGAGTTGTAGTTCACCTACATCCAGAGAGCACTGTGGACTCAAACAATGATGGATCTGGACTAAACTCTACACAAATACTAAATATGCCCAAATGTGAACACTGCTGGAGTTTGGGGAAAATAGATCTTGACATTTGGGAGTTGTAGTTGCTGGGATTTATAGTTCACCTGCAGTCGGGAGCCCCGCCTTCACATTGGTGTGAGCTGCAGCGGAGAGTTCCGCAGTTCCTGGACCAAGCTTTTGGGACCAACAGATGAAATGTGCCCCAGCAGCTAGCTCAAAACCAGGAATGCTTGCAGTTTCACCTTGCTTTCCCCTTCCCTTTACTTTGTATCCTTTCCCTAATAAAAGTACTTGAAACTTGCAACTTTTTATCTTTCCGCATGCTACTTTTGTATCCTTTCTTGACTCAGACAAAATAACATTGCAATAAACCTTTTTTGGGTTCCGGAGAGCCGTGAGCCCGCGGGAGGCGCCTCCGGGCGCCCCCCCGGACCCCGAATCTGCGTTCGCCTAGACCGCGGATACGGAAACCGCCATTTCAGACCCCCTTATCCACGAAGATACTTAAAATGGCGGATCGCCGCCGTTCCATTTTTATATTTTTCTACAACTAATTCTAAGACTAACTGCCATTTCCCTTTTCTCGTTTTGGGCTCCTTCACCCAGGGAAAAATTAGTTTTGTTTTAAGTATTTTATCTTGCAGAGAAACAGCTGATTGTCAAACTGGCCAGGCTTTTCGCTTCTTCTTGGCAGCGCTCGCTCCCGCTTGGATCCAACAGCCAGGGACCCACTGCGGCCACCCGCAGGAGTCCCGGGAAGGCGGCCAGGCATGGGCCCCGGCCCCCGATCAGGGAAATGTAGTTTCCCAAAGAACCTTGCTCCACAGATCACAACCCGGAAACCTTCCTTGGACTCTCTTATTTACCCTCTCCTATTGACTTTCTGCTCCACATCCCGGACTGTTTTCTGCCACATTTTTGGACGCAAACCCTCAGATCAGGCTTGCTCCGATTCGCAAGCAGCCTCCGCTTCCGTGTGCCTTCACCAGGAGACCATGAACTTCTTTCAATAATAAAGTAATATTAATAAACTTTCGCTGGGGATGGGGATGGGATTGCCTTATGAAATGTATAGAATATATGAAATGTATGTAATGGAATGAAATGTACTTTGGTTCCCCTTCCCGCTTCTCCTCTCTGACCCTTTGCCCCAAAAGAAGAATGTGACCCGAGGATTACTGTAACAGGGAGGAAATCCTTTGTCCTCCCGAAACGGTCCATATTTACATTTGCATGGGCCCGTGATTGATTCCTTCTCAAAGCTTACTTTCAGAGCAGACAGTAAGATGAGGGATGGGTCAACAGAAACTCAGGGATAAAAAGGCTGATTATATCATTTTTAGGTATTTGTTGATCCCCCTTGTTTACAAGGCCCTGAGGTCCAAATACCATCAGTAGCTCCTTTTTCACCTTTTTCATACTTCCTCCCAAATCCAATCATAGACCAGGAAACTCATTGTTCCCCTTGTCTGTCACCCCGCCGATGAGGACAAAGACTCGAATAACAGCTGGCGGATGCCCCCTGGGCACACCATTTCCCCTGAGCTGTCAAGCTTCGTCCCGCCTCCTGGCTGCTGATTGGACCATCTTCGGAGGCGCTAGGAAGGCGCTGATTGGGCCCCTAGAGGCAGCGGAGCTCACTGATTGGACAGGAGGCGGGACGCACAGCCAAGCCTCCTCCCAGCTGTTCCGCAGCTAGCCAATCAGGGTGAAGCCGGCCGGCAGAGGGCAGGCGGGATTTTTGAAAATGTTTCCTTTGTCTGTACGCTATAAAAATGCCTGGAAATTCTGTAAATGTATGCTTGTATGTGGATGATCACTACAATCGCATCCTTTTCAGCTGAATCGCAGAAATAAACGCCTCGGTCACTGAACCTCTTCAGCCTCCGGTGAGATTAATTTTTAACATTTTTTCACTCTTTGGATTGGCTTTCGCTGGCTGCTCACCGAGGGCAAAGGACCCCTTTAGCGGTCTTCAGGGATCTCTCCCGCTGGGAGACCCCCACAAAAGAGCTCGATATCACACCTACAATCACAGAGCATTCTGAACCCCGCCAACAATGGAATTGAACCAAACTTGGCATACAGGACTCCCATGACCAACTGAAAATACTGGAAGGGTTTGGTGGGCATTGACCTTGAGTTTGGGAGTTGTAGTTCACCTACATCCAGAGAGCACTGTGGACTCAAACGATGATGGGTCTGGACCAAACTCAGCACGAATATTCCATGTACCCAAATATGAACACAGGTGGACTTTGGGGAAATAGACCTTGCCATTTGGGAGTTGTAATTGTTGGGATTTATAGTTCACCCGCAATAAAACAGCATTCTGAACCCCACCAATAGAATTGGACCAAACTTTCCACACAGAACCCCCATGACCAACAGAAAATACTATGTTTTCTTATGGTCTATGGCGACCTCTCTGACACCCTCTCGCGACCCCCATGGGGGTACCGACCCCCAGGTTGAGAAACACTGTTCTATATAAATAAAAATGTAATTCTTGTTTGTGGGATCAACATAACTCAAAAAACACCAGACAGATTGACACCAAATTTGGACACAAGACACCTATCAGGCCAACAAGTGATCATCACTCATAAAAACACTGGAAAACACAGTGGAAGGGACTTAAAAGGCAAAAAAACAACAACACCAAAACATAACGCATGTGCAAAACACACACATATATACACATATGCATAAATATATACACACATATATACACAAACAAAACACATATTCACAGACTGGGCCACAGCAACGTTTGGCAAGGGACAGCTAGTATATAAATAAAAATGTAATGTTCGTTTGTGGGATTAATATAACTCAAAAACCACTGGACGAATTACCCCCAAA